GCAGATGCGCTATATTACCCATGAGCACTGTGACTGGAAGGCCTATTTTACAGTAAAAAGGGTAGGTATTCTGTAAGAGCGTGGTCCTACCCCGGTCGAGCCGACCCATACGTGCTACAACCATAATATAGTTGCAGCGTGGCTCTACCACGTAAAATATGCGAGGTACATTTTTATATGGTAGAGCCACACTGCAACTATATTATGGTTCTCTATAAGCGACGTGTTATGTCGCGCGGCTCAGATCCCATATAATCACGAGTGAAACCGCAGGGCACAGCTAGTTGTGGCTTAAGAATAAGAAATAGGCATATGGTATCGCGAACATTTTTTAAATGGGGTAAAGATCTATATTTTTGTAGAACATTGCATTTACGTATCACTAAACATTACCCCAGCGCATGAGGGTAAAGCAGTTGGGAGCGCTTTTGCATTGACTTGCTTACCAAAATATGTATTTAAGGCTTGCTATAATATGAAATCGCCGTGAAGTGGCGGTCAAGAATATCCACTACCCCATATCTTCCCGTGGGTGTCGTAAAAGGGGACAAAGGGAAACAGGCAGGAGATGGGCAGCAGCATCTTCCTGATAGTAGCCGAAATTACAATAAAAAAAAACTCCGGTTGCCAACCCGCTCGCCAAGCGTGGCAACTATGGCAAATATTCCCCTATGAAGAGAGTAACAAAGAGACGGCCCCCAGTCCCGGGCGGCCCCGCTATTCCTGGCTACGGTGGCGACCATGGTAACGGCGGGGCAGGGGGTGCTAAGAATCTCCGGTGGAGGTTCGGTTGCCACCTACGACGACTCGACCTGGCAACATACAACGCACGCACCCTGAGGACTGACGAGAAGATTGTGGAGCTGGAAGAAGAGATAGACAAGTTACGCTGGCATATTATAGGATTATCCGAAGTCCGAAGAGAGGGGGAGGACACGGTAATCCTCGAATCCGGCAACTTGCTCTATTACCGGGAGGGCGACCATCTGTCCCAAGGAAAACCGGTACTTGAAGTCCTTCAGAGGCTCTTTATTTCCGTCCTCCATGGTGGCATTACACCGGAGGCGTGGAGAAAAAGTGCGGTGGTCTTGTTCTTCAAGAAAGGTGACAATGCTCTCTTGAAGAATTACAGAACCGGAGTACGTACCCATTCCAATTGCAGAGAGGTGTAAGACAGGGTGATGTTATATCCCCGAAACTCTTCACCGCTGCATTGGAAGACGTTTTCAAGCTTCTGGACTGGAAAGGATACGGTATAAACATCAATGGCGAGTACATCATTCACCTTAGATTTGCCGACGATATAGTCCTTATGGCAGAATCGCTGGAGGATCTAAGCACCATGCTCAATGACCTCAATAGTGTCTCCCAACGGATAGATCTTAGGATGAACATGGACAAAACAAAGATCATGTTCAATGTCCATGTCACACCTATGCCGGTAGTTGTTGGCACTAAGCTCGAAGTTGTTGACGAGTATGTTTACCTGGGACAAATAGTCCGACTAGGTAAGTCCAACTTCGACCGAGATGTCAATCGACGGATTCAACTCGGCTGGGCAGCGTTCGGGAAACTACGACACATCTTCTCGTCAGACATTCCTCAAAACCTTAAAACGAAATTGTACAACCAGTGCGTGTTGCCAGTGATGACTTACGGATCTGAGACGTGGTCCTTCACTGCTGGCCGTATGAGGAAGCTCAAGGTCTCTCAGCGAGCTATGGAGAGGGCTATGCTCGGAGTTTCTCTGGGTGATAAACTTAGAAATGAGGATATCCGCAGTAGAACCAGAGTGACTGACATAGTCTAACGGATTAGTAAGCTGAAGTGGCAGTGGGCCGGCCATATAGCTTGAAGAACCGACAACCGATTGGGAAAAAAGGTTCTTGAGTGGCAGACTCGTACTGGTAGGCGAAGTGTAGGGCGACCCCCCACGAAATGGAGTGACGACCTGGTAAGACATGCAGGAAGTCGATGGATGCAGGTGGCTCAGGACCGTGCTTTGTGGCATTCCTTGGGGAAGGCCTATGTTCAGCAGTGGACTTATGAAAGGCTGTAATGATGATGATGATGATGATAATATGAAAAAGAATTTTTCAAATAGGACTTGTAGTTAAAGTGATCAGCGAGTTCAAACACAAAAAAAAAACAAATAGTCTCTTCCGCTTTATTATAGTATAAATAAATACTAGTATAAATGTCTTATGGATGCCACACTCGATCCAGTTTATCGTCAACTTTGCAGCGCGTTTGAAGCAGCGTCCAGTTTGCAGTGCATCCATATAGACCACTCATGTTCAAGTTCGCCTTCAAGTTTGTATGATACCGCGCCAGTTGAAACCATGGCGTCTCTCTTACTTGACCGTTCATACACACGTTCAAGTTAACATGACGCTGCAAGCTTGATCAAGTCAGCAGAACCGAAATTGAATTGTGGCTTCAAGTAGACTTGTCATGAACACAGATAGCCATATACCGTTAAGTTTACCGGAAGCCGCTGCAAGCGCGCTGCGAACTTGACAGTAAACTGGATCATGTATGGCATCCATTAGACTAGTATAAATGTCATATTGACTTTAGAATGTAAAATTATTTTATCTTTTTTAATTGTTCGACGTCGGTTTTTACTTTTTTTTAAAAGTATTTATATACATTTATATTTTTGGTCGGATTTTTAATTTTACTGTGAGGTGTAGTGTAATAATTATCAAAACCAATAAAGGGTAGCCTCTTATCATCCCATTTTGTCTTGTTGGTGTCAATGATGATTATGACGTAATCCAAAGTAAATCAAATATTTATTACTATAGAAGTAAATAATTTATTTACTTTTGAGTCAATAGTTTTAAAATCGCTTTGTACAGGAGGCATTCTGTTTAAATATTCAACTATAAACATCAAACTGCTAGTAGAGCTTTTAGGAAATATATCTAGTTTTTAAGTTATTTTTGTTTATTTGCTCTTGAACCTTTAGTTTATTGCGCAGTAAACATCGAATCTTATATTTTAATGGAATTTTCATAGTAAATCTGAATTCGGCGCACTACGGTTTGAAACTTTGTTTTAAAATTGTGTCAGTTCCATGTTCTTATTATAATGAAATTCGAGACATTAAAGAAGTTAATAATTTTCATAAATATCACGCTTCATAGGTGACTCAGATTATGATTTTAAATAGTTTCGCGATTTTTATTATGAAATAATTAATTTTTGACGAAATATCCGTAGCGACAACAATTATGATAACCGTGCCACGTTTTTTATCGAGACTATCGCTAGACTCGACGATTTTGCCTTGCGAACACGACGGTTTCTGTCGTGTTTCAAGTTGACTGTCGGTATATCGAAGTGCTGAAGTGATTGTACAGTAAGACTACGATGGTTATCCGAGTACAAACTGATAGGTCTTAACATGATCGTAGATAAAACAAAGGTCATGTCAAACGGTACCGGTATGCCGGTAGTTGTTGGTTGTAGTACTACGCTCGAAATTGTATTCGAATATTAACGACGGATGTAAACGTTAAACATACGTGGGACAAATAGTTCGGAAATTACGACAGATCTTCTCGTCAGTCGTACGTCAATGCTTGGAAAAAAAATTTGATTTTACGATAGTGTAGCTCCTTGCACCTAAAATAAAGTAGTGCTTGCCATTACACTCTTTTTTTGGACATTTTGGATTTAATCTTAATGACGTCCTATCTACTTCGTGATAAGTAATGAAGATGCTTTCAACTAACCTAAACTTATTTATTCATTCATTAATCTACCTCGCTTGTCTAGTGGACGCACTGTAGCTCGACTGGGTTCGGTGTTGAGTTTTCCTGTCAAGAAATTCCTAGTAGCAGCTGTTTTACCTCTGAGCCTCGGAAAACACGTTAAACCGTTGGTCCTGCGCCTGATCTTATCAAAAATCTACGGCTTAACATAAGGTTACCGAATAGATTGCTTCAAAGAGGAGATATTTGTCATAAATGCTACGCTTGGTAGGTGAATTGGCAAACACACTTTTAATTATTATAGAGTTGTTATCGGGAAGGTGATGTTGCCCGTTTCCTGATACAAATTTCCTCTGTCGCATGATATGCGGTAGTGGATTCTTTTACGTCGCCACTACATAGCAAATTCTATACAGTTCTATAATTGTTTCTTGAATCTATCAGACCTTCTCGCTTACATGTTTAAGCTAAAAGGTAATGCGTCAATAATGCTGAGGCATAATTTAAGTTCATCGAAGTTCCGTAACATAACAATTCGTATTATAAAAGAAGTCATTGAGGATATTTTTGACAAGGTAATTAATCACAAGGAAGAAGTATTCTCTATAGAATCTGATACTGACAAATCTGAAACTAACGCTGATCTTATTCAACTGCCCTTTTTAAATTTAAAGCATATGCAGGTCCCCATAGCAGTCTGTTTAGCAAAGACCATTAACAAAGGCGGAATATTAAAGTTTTTAAAAATAATGAAAAAGATCTAAGTGAAAAAGAAAATAAAATGGGATATGTTTTACCTAGTTTAAAGAGCACCTCTAATAGTCGTGTATGTTATCACCGCCTCTACATTTTTTATATACTACTGACAACGGAACCACAAATGTTCTTTAAAGAGGAGCTTTAAATTAAAATTTTCTTGTTATTTATTAAGAATCACGGTGTTTATGAATCAATTTTACTACCGTTTAATAAGTTATGCTACAACGTACCTACAGATGCTACGCAGACAACATAACGTAGAAGTGAAAAAGTTGTGTTATATTTGAGCAAGTAGTTTTATTAAAAATATATGAACTTATTTTACAAAAAAAAATTCAAAACTGACTAAATGATATTTTTAATTAATTTACTTTCTATGAAACGAAATACTTTCAAATTTTTTTTGCTGTTTAATTTTTAAAATAACGCCACCTAGGTAACTCAGATGAAACAAAAAGAACAGTAGATAGCGATAAAGTGAAACGTAGCCTTTCGTAGCGCTGCTGGAAGGTTACTTACCTAAGAGATTAACGTCCATAGCCCGGCGGATTACTGAAAAAGGCACCCACTCTAGTTCGCCGAGAGCACACCACGACTCACAGTTTGCAATCGCCCACAACCCTTGAGCGCCCTCTGGTAGATGGTCTACGATGTACAACGAGGCTGACAAAATCTGTGGGAAAAAGTTTTAATGTTTTTGAGAACGATGTCGCTTATATTAGTAATTCATGGAGTGGTAGATTTGGAGATAATAATGGTAAATATTTAGATTAGCATGAGATATTAAAAAATGAAATTATTTAATAAACGAGATAAATCATATTTGCATTTCGACGTGGTATTGGTAGTAAAATTTTTAATAAAAATTCCATCCCAATCTTTTTTATAACCTATGTTTCAATGAAGGACGTTTTTATAAAGAGGACATTTTAATGAACAAGACTGGCATAATAGAAAATCTTACGTATCATTTCTATATAGGGACTATCCAGTTTCGTTAGGCATAATAGTGGTAAAGTAAATAATGATTTTAAAATTTTTTCGTAGGTATTTTTGGAAAATATAGATAATTTATTTTTGAACTCACTGTGTACAATTTTAAGGTATGAAATACCTAAGCTTTTACTTCTTAATATATTTATATTAAATTGAAGTGCCTGTCCGTAAATTAAAAAATAAATGACTACTATTAAACTCGGGGTTTGAAACCATTATTAAAATTTTCGCCTGTCTGGTCTATCTGTCCGGGCTAATATTCGGAATGGCTGAATCGATAAACGATAAAACTTCACGAACGAGAAGATTATTTTGTAAAGTCGAAAAAATTATAAAATAAATGGTTTTTAATGATTTTATCATCTTTATATATATACATATATTTGACTTTTCTGTACGCGTGTTTCTCATTGAACTCCTAAACGGTTCGACTGATTTTGATGAAATTTTTGTGTGTTTGGGTGAGTCCCAGTTTGACTAGATAGGTGGGGTTGTTGTCGGGATCTAGAAGTCACCAGGGCGGAGTCGGGGTATGGCAGTAAACTTTAAAACATATAAAAAAATGTTTCAAACAAAACTGCTTTGGTTTGCAATTTTAAACAAAAGATCTTTTTACTTTACTTTATCTTCTGTCTATTAAAGTTTTGATGTTAAGTCAACATTTTTATTTACTTCGACACGATTTACAACAAAACTGTGAGTGTTTAAGGATAATGTTATACGACCCTTTTTAAGTCAAAATTAATAGAACTTCTATTTTTTAGTTAGTAGTTATTTTTACTTCTTATTATTATTTCAAACATTTAAATAAAACAATAGCTAAAAATTTAAAGTGGTTTTGCCGATAATTGAACTACTTGCCCAAAGGACTCTGATATAGATCTGCAGGTTTTTTATGTTAAGTAAAAGCTAGTTGAAAAGTATAATTTACAGCAACAATAGTTTATTTTGCCTTTATCTACTTGATGTGGATGGTTCTCATCGCTATATGAATAATTAGTAATTTAGTAAGTTGGTAGCTTATAAGGAAAAAAGGTTCACAAATGGTAGCGTGTACCGTTAAGCAAAGTGTAGGTCGGCCTCCCACTAGATAGAGTGACGGCTAGGTTAGACGCGAGAAGTCGACGGATAAAGGTGGTTCAGGACCATGTTTTGTGTGGCATTTCTTGGTGGCGCTTATACAGCAGTGAACTTGGGAAGGGAAGTAATGATGATGATGATGATAAAATTAGTTACATAATACAAATTGTAGTGTCTGTCTATACCGAGGTAACTGCCTTTAATTAAGCTGAGGGGGTTATTTGCATGTCCCTAAATAAGAATAACTATTTATTCTTATTTAGTATAATGGATGTCATACACGATGCAGTTTACCGTCAAGTTTGCATGATGCCGCATCAGTTGAAACCATTGTGGCTCTCGCTTATTTGCTACGTCATGCATACTTGACCGCTCATACACACGTTCAAGTTTGCATGACGCTGCAAGCTTGATCAAGTCGGCAGAATCGAAATTCAATTTTTGCTTCAAGTAGACTTGTCATGCACACTGATAGTCATACACCGTCAAGTTTACCGGACGCCAATTTAAGCGCGCTGTAAACTTAACGGTTAACTGGATCGTGTATGGCATCCATTAGATCATCTTAAATGTAAATAATGCCACATTAATAGATCCTACTCCGGAAGCCGTGGTGGGATGTTGGTTGGGTTGTGGTGGCGCTAGTCATAAATAATACCATGGTTTTACTTCTGGAATTAAAGCGGAGCTAAGGAGGAGAAGAGGAGTTCAATACTTTTTAGTTTTAAAGTTATAGTCGACATAATCGTGGCCGCAGGCTCTGTTCTTATTGTTACCCGCACATTTTCTTTTAATTTGCGTTCTTAAACTAATATTCTCGCAACTGCAAATCGGTTTTTGCTCGGAGCAGTACATGCAAAATGTTTATTTATAAAGAGAACTGTTATTATTTAGATTTTAATTAAAGGAAGACAAAATGATAGCGTATTTAATAAACGAGGTTTTACTTTTGCTAAATCTTCCTAGTCTTCTTCCGAGGTGAATTTCTGTGTAACAAGAACTGGTGAGAATTTCGAAAGTTCATGGAATTAAATTTCATGTTGTTTATAAAGCGTCTCCCTGTTAGATGAAACCTTAATTTGTTGTCGCTCGTAAATTACGAGTGATTTTTGAAGTAAATATTATTTTTATAGAAATAGGGTAATAAACGAGCACACAGTCCACCTGATGGTAAGTGGTTGTTAAGGCCTATAGATATCTAAATCTATCCTCGTTTGCAAATCAAAGTGCAGATGCGTTATCAGTCTTGAGAAATAAAATGGAATGCTTCTTTTCCAGTAAAAAGGGTCTCCAGTTCTCTGCATTTACCATATGAAACACAGCAGTGTTAACCTGCTACTTTACGCTGGTATTCTCTAAGCGTGGTCCTTCTCTCGTCGAGCCGACCCATTCGTGCTACAACTAATACTACTAACATAGCTGCAACTTGGCTCTACCACGTAAAAACAAAAATAACAAATGACAAATTCAAATGGCCTTCACGCACGCACGCACGCAAGCACGCACTCACGCACGCACGCATGCGCTCAAGCACGCACGCATGCACGCACGCAAGCACGCACGCACGCTCTTACGCACGCTAGAACGCACGCACGCACGCTCACTAGCTCGCACGCATGCACGCACGCACGCACGCACGCACGCACGCTCGCACGTTCGTACGCACGCACGCACGCACGCAAGCACGCACGCACGCACGCACGCACACAAACACACACACACACACACACACACACACACACACACAAACACAAACACACACACACACATACACAATATCCTTGTTGGCTGTAGCCAAATTATAAATTTATTTTTAATTTATTAGTCAACTCTCAATATAAAAAAAAATAAGGTAAGGTTATTGCCAGCTACTATCGGGCTGCTCTTTTGATAATTTTAACTATAAAAACATTCAGAATATGTTCTGTAAAAAGATGATTAAATAAATTACCTGTGTTTCAGATGTAATGTCGAGCTGTAGGGTATGTAAGCGCCCTGAGCAGTCTTCTTTAAGCATGTCAGCATCGATGTTTCCAGCCTTATTCTGGAATCCAGCGAATACATGGTAGCCCAGGTCATCCAGCCTTCGAGCAAGGGCATTTCCTAAAACGTTGTCGCATCCTGTTACCAGCACAGCTTTGCCGGCAGCTGTCACCTATTAACCACATGAGCGCATTAAAACATATAACTTAAAATTTATTACAATAGATGTTTTCATTCTATTCTTAACAAATTTTACTATTAAATTTGCAGTTGATTGACGTTGACAGGTAAACCAAACGTCAACCGCTACACTTAATGTAATGTAACGTGATGGTACACGTGGATTCACTGCTGGCCGTATGAGAAAGCTTAAAGTCGCTCATCGAGCTTTGGATATGCTCAAAGTTTCTAAGCGTGATAAAATTCGAGATGTGGATAACCACGAAACAACCAGGTTGACCAACAAAGCCCAACGGATTAGCAAGTTAAAGTTGACGTAAGCGAAGTGTAGGGCGGGCCTCCACTAGATGGAGTGATGATATGTTAAGACATGCAAGAAATCGATGGAGAAAATTTGCTCACAACCGTGTATTGTGGTGTTATTTGGAGCTTGCCGGTGTTCAGATGTGGACTTTTGAAAAGCGGTATTGATGATGATGATGAAATACAAAGAACATCTGATTTAATTGATTGAACTGTTATCAGGGTTTTTGTTACTTTGTTGTTTTATGCTAAGTTAACTCTATTATCTGATACCATAGGCAAGTAACGAAATTATTATTTTTTTTGTAGAAAATAGACGTTGACAGCTTGATTGATGTCGATTGTTATAACTGTTGAATGAATATTTTATTCGGGCTTCGATGGATGTGACGCAGTTACTTTCGAGGTTATCTATTTTAGGATAGTTTCATTGTTAATACTAAAAATTTTAACCTCTGCCTTCATACACTTTGTTTGAAGATTTTCTTATATAAAATTTAATTTAAGAAATTCTCTTGTGATAAAAATAGATAAAGATAAGATTTGCAAATATCTGCGTGCAAAAAAAAAGATTTATCCTATAAACCGACACACAGCAATGGTGCATCCTTTGTTGTGATCTGCTGCATTATACGTGGTAGAGCTACGTTGAAGTTATATTATGGTTGGAGCACGAATAGGTCGGCTCGACCTGGGTAGGACCAAGCTCTCTCAGTTTACCAGGGTAAAATAGCTGCTTAATGCTGTTGTATTTCATATGGTGGATGTAGAGAACCGGAGACCATTTTTGCTGCAAACGAGGTATTCCGTCTTAGTCCACAGGGGTAGCAACGCAGATGCGTTTTGATTCTTAAGAGAGGATTAATGTAGATGTCTATGGGCTACAGCATCCACTTACTATCAGATGGATTGTGTGCTCGCTTGTCCCCCCTATTCTGTAAAAAAATAATGGCAAAAATAGGTAAGAGAGTACCGACCCAGTCGCTCTCATTTTGATAAAGTTTGTGACTGCTTTTTATTTTTAGCAAAGCTTTCTGGCAGTCCTGCCGAGTAGCTAATTAATAATCGTTAATCGTTTGTTTTTGACATCAGTCAATTTGTATATTGCATACCCTTCTGAGAAATTCATTCACATCTCCGAAATGCACAACTTGCGAAAACGAAAACGAGCGAGTTCTTCATTAATGCGGGACGCAGTTGACGATATCTTCAAGTAGTCTTAGAAATGTCAATCAATATAAAATTTACTATAATCTATTTGTTTTGGATATTTTACATTACACCAGTAAAACGTAGTAATTTAAACTCTTTGGATATAAATACTTCTCACTAGATGATGCTACCTGTACTTAAATTACGCAAAATATACGATAGATTAACAAAATTGAATATAACAATTTTTTTTATTAGTGTAATGGATAATTTTAATATTTTTCAAAAACTAAACTTTTCATTAACTTTTATTCAATACAACAATCAGCTTAATAAATCACATAAAGTCGTGATTTATTCACACTAATTAGGATCGGTACTCGAGTAGTAGGGCGGGTTCGTCATATCTTCAGATCCTCGTTAGTCAAGTAATGACTGCCCTTGTGACTAGACGTTTTAATTGCGAATTTGTGTTTATTTTGGATGTTCTTTTTTATTGAGTTTAGCCTAGCCCTAGCTGTGTGCTCCTTCACTGTTCTCCGACTATTTATATGATCAATCAACTATGGCTGCTTTTACTAAAACAAAATATATGTTGGTAACGTCTTCATGTATGGCAGAGCTGACAGTAATGGATCTTTGGCACGGCGGATGTACCAACAGCAACATCCAAATCGAAGATTACCAAATGTCAGAGTGTTTTACAGCACATTTCGTCGGTTTTCTAAAGTGGGAATCCATCACACGAAACCTGGAGTCAATCCGAGAAGACATGGCCCAAGTGTTGAGGAAGATATTATTGCAGCTTTCGATGCAATTCCTACTACGAGCGTCAGAATAGTACCACAAAACTTCAACATAATGATTTTCATATTTACGCGAACACTACACGTTGAATAGAACTACTTTTACGGATTTTATTGCGTTTTATTGTTCTTATTTTGAATTCCTGACGTTTCGGGTGGTTTTCAGTACCAACGGTCACGGGGGACTAAGGTGATTAACGTCCCGATGTCTGAGTCAACCCGGAGTACCTTCAGCTTTTTAATTATTAGTTTTGGTCCGATCTTTGTAGAATGAACTTACTGTGTCTTAGAGTCTTGCAGTGGTATGCTTGGGCTTAGTTTGAATTTTATTAATTACAGGATCTCAAGCAGGTGGTAGTACCCAGCCTCCCTCTCTGTTGAAATTAAGATGTTTTTTTTTAAATTTCAATAGCCTCATGTATCATCCTTGGCAGGAATCGATGTTCTTTCACGAAAATTTGTGGTCTATCAAATCCAATGTAATGGCGAGGGCCGTCACAAACTGCAGACTTCTCGCGTTAGTGTTTTATGTCAGCTATACCTATATTTTTTACGCGGGTTTTTATAGATCGTTCTGTTTGCCCTATATATGAGAGATCATATCCATAATCAAGCTTGTACACTCGTGCATCATTGTAGAGGGATATTACACTTGACGGATGGTAAGAACTGACTAATCTTCTTCAGCAGCTTGAAGAATGTTCTGATAGAAGCTCGCTTCATGATGTAGCCAATCTTGTCTGTGATACCTCTGACATATGGCAGTACAGTAGGTACACGCTCGACCGTGGCCGGCTTCACTCGGTCACTGTGACGTAGGCGCGGGACTCAAAGTTTTTTGTCATGCAGAACCTGCTTGATGTGCTGAAGCTCGACAGCCAGGTATTTGCTGTCACAGATCCTTCGTGCTCTCTGAAACAAAGATTTGCTCACGGTAGCTAACTGTGAAGGATGATGGTGAGATTTACCGTATAAATATCGAGACGTCAATCACCTCAGTCCCCCGTGACCATGGGTGCTTGAAAGCAGCCAAACGTCGGGAATTAAAAATAAGAACAGTTCAACGCGATAAAATCCGTAAAAGTAATTTTATTCAAAAACCTCAACATTTCGGTATGGAAGGTGTAAAATATGGTGCACCAAGAAAACAAGTATCCTTTACACTGCACCGATGTACAAGGTTTAGAAAATTAAGATCCCAAGAAGGATTCAGTTCTATCGCTTTTTGACTTTTTGGCTTTTCTATCGCTTGTGGACCGATGAGTCAAAGTTTTCGAAAGAAGGAATAACCAACTTACATAACCTCCATCAATGGGCTGGCAAGGACAGCAATTCATACTGGAAGAAGCAAGTGTTGCTTCAATGGAAATTTTCAGCAAACGTGTGGGCACCCCACTTCCTACAAGATAATTTAGATACAGACACTTACCTGGAATTCCTCATAAACGATCTCCAAGAGCTCCCGGACGAGGCCGAAATACCAATATTGGCAACGAGAAGAATAATGATCTTTCAGCAAGATGGATGTCCAGCGCATTGGATTCGAAACGTGCGAGAGCATTTAAATAATTGGTTCCCAGAGGACTACATCGGCAGAGACGGGCCCATCCCTTGGCTACCTCGATCGCCTAATTTAGCTTCTGTGGATTTTTTCATTTGAGGACGAGCCAAGGAGCTCATTTACACGCTTGTGGAAATATCAACCAGAGAGGAGTTAATAGGAAGAATCCATACGACTTTTCAAGTTATGAAGGAGGAGATGAAAACAAAAATTACGACGTGAAAAGACGAGTCCGCGCTTGTGTAAAAAATGGCGGTCAACACTTTGAACACGAAAAATAAATTATTTTAACAAAACGTTGTTTTATTGGTTTGTTAAAAATTAAACAATATTCGTCCGCAATTTGCTTTGTATACCCTCATTCCATGAATTGGTGAGACAACTGCGTAAATAATACCTCAAAAGAAAGGACAATAACTAAGCATGTTTGAACAACAAAGGCTATTTTTTATGATAGCATAAACACAACATTTCCTTAATTTTTCCAATTTCTTAAACTTAAATATGCGTAAAATGTTTCTCTAATGATGAAGATGCTTGGAAGTATTTTTTTTTGAGTAATCATACATTACATAAATAAAAAACAAATAAAAAATAATAACATTACAACTGTTACTGGATATTATTGGTTTTTGATAATTGAAAAAAAAGGGATTTTATTATTAAAAACCTTAGGAATTCAATTTAAAAAAAGGAGTAGACTTCGGTATAAGACAAGTTTAGCTTAATGTGTTCTAAAACGTTTAAGGTATCATCCCCTTCAGGCTTTGTACCCATTTTCCAAACAACCTGTGTATAATATCTCTAGACTGAGGACTGAGGAATATCGCCAGCCCAAGGAAATAACTTCATCCATAATTTCCTAGTTTTCCACCCATCATCCTCATTGTTTTAGAAAACAAAGGTGGAATATTTTATTATATAATAAAATTTAATATCGTAAAATTTACCACTTCCTTGCTCTCCCCAGTTGAATCCATTTAACTATAAAAGTATCGTTAGAATCGGTTCAAAATTGGCGAAGGTATTTTATAGCATACGTATAAAAAAACATATGGTCCATTTGCGAGCCTTGTGGCGTCGTTAGTTCCGAAGTTAAAGCAGCATATATAGAATAGCTCCGAACTACCAATTGGAGCGTTGGCCGCTCCCCGGGCAGAACACCTTGCC